ATCCGTATGATACAAGCGCAACAAATACGTTTTAAGATTGTTGGGTGTGTTTCGGAAAATAAAGAAAATTAATTAAAATAAATTAATTAAATAAAATGACTAGAGAAAAACAAGAAAGGAGATGAAGCAGAATTAGCCAAAGCTCGTGCTACGCACGATTTCCTTAAAACGTATTTGTTGCCTCCCACGGTGCTAGGAGCGTTGCAACAATCGTTTCCCAGGATACGATGACTACGAACTAATGTTTGAGCACACAAACAAGAGTTCCAGCGAACGAGAACCAAGTATGAACACAGAAGGATTTTGGGAGTAGCTGGAAGAGTTTTTAGCTCAAGAAAACGTGAGGAAAGTGTTGTGCGTTGTCAAACCGTGTCTTTGTTGCAAAGCACCTGCCAGCTATTTATAGGAGGATTTGTTGTGTGTTAAATGGGGTGTTAATGGACCTGAACGTTGGACATCAATGACCAGTCCGTTGGGCATTGAATCGTCCATAAACTGTCCATTTAACGCAGCATTAAAAGATAAGAACGTTGGGCATTAATTGTTGTAACGGAAGAAGTGCGCGGCAGAGGACCCCAACAGAACACCCCTTGGAGGGGTTCTGTCCGAAGCCAACAGAACACCCCTTGGAGGGGTTCTGTCCGAAGCCAACAGAACACCCCTTGGAGGGGTTCTGTCCGAAGCCAACAGAACTCCCCTCGGAGGGTTTCTGTCCGAAGCCAACAGAACTCCCCTCGGAGGGTTTCTGTCCGAAGCCAACAGAACTCCCCTCAGAGGGTTTCTGTCTGAAGCCAACAGAACTCCCCTTGGAGGGTTTCTGTTCGAAGCCAGCAGAACACCCCTTCGAGGCCTTCTGTCCGGAGCACTTCTGGGAAAAAAATAAACGTTTCGGGAAGAAAACAAAAATTAACCGTATCTCTTGAGAGATAGATTTTTGGACGGCATTCGTGTCCGCAGGTCGCCCGCGCACACGAGTCGCGGTTTTTCTTCTCCGTTTCGGGATTTGATCGGCACCCCCCCCCCCCCCCCCCGCGCGCGTAAGAGAGAGCATTTCCCTTTAGGAATCTTAACTCCTTAAAAGAGGCTTCCCTTTATAAGGGGTGAAAATCCCTTGAGTTTTTCGGTGTGGGATAAAACACACTAGAAACTCATCATTTTTCCCAGTTTTTCCATTTCAACGAGTGAACTTCGAGAATCAATTTCTCATTCACCCGTTATCCGTTTTGAGCGTACCATATATCGAATTGTAGCCCTTAACAAGGACAATCCGAAACCACTTTGACCCGACCCAAATCGGAAGTGGACCCCACTCAAATAATTGCCCCAAAATGACCATTTAATTCAATTTTTAACACATTTTTCCAACAGGATTAACTTAATAGATGGAAAACTTTTGTTCTTGAAAAAAAAATATGAAACAATTTCTCAATCCGTGCTAGATCGACATACCTTTTGATTTTTCGTACTGCAATATGATAAAAGTTTCAATATATAAAATCATATTATTAGATAAAGTTGTATTGAAGGATGAAATAATAAAATTAAATTATACGTAGTACTTCATTTTTAAACACGGTAGTATTTTGATAGAGGCCTTGTTTGGTAAATGGCTGTTAGCTGTTGCTGTTAGCTGGTTGTGTCAGCTGTTTCGTAACAGCTGGTTGTGTTAGCTGTTTTGACCGACTGGTTATGTTAGCTGATTATAAATAACTGTTTGGTAAAATTGGCTGTTTCGAAATGGCTGATAGAGTGTAAATTGAACCAGCCAAATGAAGAAGTTGCTCCCCTTAGCTTCTTCCACCATCCATTTTTTCAACTTTTCAAACTCAACAAGCTAATTTTAAAAGCCATTTAGCAAACATTATTATTAGCTTCTTTGACTAATCAAACAGCTGAAATGGGTCAAACAAGCTAAAAGCTGGCTCATAAGCCATTTGCCAAACATACCCACAGTGGTCTTAATGGGTTCAAAACTAGACCTATAATCTATATATGTCATGAAACCGACATTGAATAATCTATTTCCGGTTAAACTAATAATCTAAACAAACTAGACAGAATAAACCAGTTCAAGGGCGGAGCAAGGGCACTGGGTCGGACTGGGTCGGGGTAAAATATATTTTTGAAAAAAACTTTTGCACAAAATTGTTTACTTTAAAAATTTAAAAAACAATTTTTAAATTTGGGGTGAGTCAGGGCTTACGTTGGCCCTCCCAAGATCCGCACATGGATCAATAATGCACCTGACCCGAGTCATTCCCATCCATGTGGCTGTGCCCTGATTTAAAAAACTTCTGGATCCACCACTATCGCTGAAGTAAAAATATAAGGCCACCCTACTAGTATCCACTATTTCGGCTGCATCCCGTTTCTAGGTGCAAATTCACTACAACTAAAGGGAATTAAAGCGGAGCGTATGTGGAAGCTATAGATTTCAACGCTAAACAAACATTAGCAAATAAATTGAACATCACTAAAAAATATGGTTGTGTGTTAAGACATTACTAGTATTCCACCCGTGCGTTGCACGGGATGTAAAATGCAGATACTGTAAATGTCAACATATAACGAAATTCTATATCATATTACTTTCAAATGTTACATCTTAGTAACTATAAAAGTATGCTCGTAGTTACTTTCACATTTTTGTTCATACATATTTTTTCATTAAGTTTTAGGAATATAATTATGTTCATATATTACATCTATATTAGTGACTACAAAAATATGTTCATAGTCATTTTATTCATATTTTTTCCATAAGTCTTATTTTAGTTATATTTTAGGAAAAATTATATTTTTATCAGGCAAGTGAGAGTAACCATACATTAATTGATAGTATGTAGCAATAAGTATTAGAAGTTGGATAAGCACACCCTTTACGAATTATTGTAGATCTCCTTGCATATGACACTTCTTGCAATTCATCAGATTTCCCTCACTATATCACGAACTTCAAGCCAGACAAACTTGTCACCTTCGTTGATAATGATGATGACAATGACAATGACGATAACTACAATAATAGTATTGTGACAATGATAATAATAAGAATATATTAATATTATCGCAGAGTATGTTGTTATTATTATTATTATTAAGATTTACAATTCAAATATTTACACATTAATTTCATAGATATTCCAAATATTTTTAAAACTAGAAAAACCACAAAGTCAAAAGCATAATTTGTCTTGAATTAATATCACCGACTACCATCCCAAAGAAGAACTAAATAATCAATTGTCTGGCTTGCAAGTCGAAGGAGTAGAAATTAAGCACAAAACTTCTATAAAGCATTGATATCAATTGTCTGGCTTGCAAATCTCTCTGGACGGGCCGTGGATGAAAGTCTCTCTGCCCTTTGTATAGGTCATAGCTTCAAACATTGATATCTCCATAGAGAAATTTGCATATTGCAAGGGTTCTTAAATTTGCGTTGCTCTGAATTCTGGAATACTAAGAGCATCTCCAATGCTACGATGTGCACGGTGCACATGTGGCATGAGAGAGATAGACACAAAAGATTGATTTTATAACATTTCTCTCTCTGTCTTTCCACGATCTTATGTATTTTTGGTAAGTTTTTCCCTGCAATGTCAACCACAATATCTACATCTAGACATTGTGCTTAACATTGTGAAGAAAAACTTACCAAAATGATATAAGATCCTTCAAATAAGGAGAGAGATTTTCTATTTGTTGTTTTTTCATTGACTATCTCTCATGTCACGTATGCACCGTTAACGTTTTAGCATTGAAGATGCTCTAAGAGTCTAAGAGAGCATTCAGTTCTCATTTTCTACTTTTTGCCTTCTCCCCCTTAAAATGATCTAGTGGTCTATTCGGGAACATTGATAAAATGATCCATAGTGCTTTATATACGTTTTTTGCATTGAGAAGATCATTGGTCGTTCATTGAGTGGTAATGTTAGGGCTATCAAGAAAAAATTTGTATTCTACTTGTCCACCCCGTTTTAACAAATTGTATAAACATGGGAAAATGTGTTACTCTTGTTTTCGTTCTCCTTGTGTATAAGTGGTATAATCTTGATAGGGATCCACAAAACGAAATCTTTTAACATTTTCCCCAAAGAAGAAAGATAACATACTCCATATAGACGGGGTGCTAACAGTTGGGCAGCCTCCAAAACCCCAACAAATGACAATAAAAAACACTCCGTATACAGTAAACAATCAATCAAACAAACAAAATGAAGCATGAATACAAAGACCTTAAACTCGATCATAGTAGAAATTAAATTACACAAAACTTCTATAAAGCACCATATTATGATGAAGTAAATATCTCATGTGTTTACTTTCACATTTTGGAAATATCTCACGTATATTATAAATAAAATAAAGAAAACCCATTTAAAGACTATCATAATAAATCTTATTATGCACATTGATAATGCAACCTAATATCTACGACATCTGGACATCTAGTTAATGCACTAACATTCAAAGAGACAGCATACTCTTGAAAATTAATATATCATAATATATATATATATATATATATATATATATATATATATATATATATATATATATATATATATATATATATATATATATATATAGGGCTAAGATCGGATACAAAGTGTGCTTCCGATACAAAATGCAAATTCATCTCATCCATCCAATTTAACAAAATCAAGGGTTAGTTTTTATTTGAGCATTAATACTCAATCCGTATTAGTGGAGAATTTTTCTCCTTTAATTCGTATTACATGGGACCAGCCATTAATGCATTGGTTTCCTATCTTGACCGTTACATTATTAAAATCAATGGTTAGGATTAGTTTGCATTTTTTAAATTAGGATTAGTTTGTATGTGATCCTAAATCTATATATATATATATATATATATATATATATATATATATATATATATATATATATATATATATATATATATATATATATATATATATATATATATATATATATATATATTAAATAAAGAATATTGAAGCTTAATACAACATATGCAAACTACTGAAGTTATAAATAACACCTACTTTCAGTGCATACTATTTTTTATTTTTATATATAAAGTCCAAATTAATAATTAAAATAGTGAGGTTAATTCCTAACCATCCTAACAAATGTCGTTCAAAGAGAAGTCAATTTGACATAATCCTAATTTCTCCTAATAAACCATTGCTTGAGCACATTTCACTTCTTGGAGGTTTACTTTTTGGAAGTGCTAGAAGAATTAACAGCAACCTGTAGTGGTTTGGGATGCTTTTCAGCTTCGATCGGATCTAGTCACATGAGATGGTGACGGTTGAAATAGACCTGTTTGGAGTGGTTATAAGATATGTGAGCACAATTCGTTCTCCATAAATGAATATCAGCATCTCAAATGAGCCCAACACATAGCCTATGATTACCGTCATCATTGCAGATGAAACCAGCAATATCTCCATCAGTTGCTCATCTACCTCTTGCCCTTGCTAATGCATCTGGATATGAAAGGAGAGTAAATTGTCAGAAACTAACTGAGAGCAATGGGCATGGGAAAGTTTCGTCCATCTAATTTTAATGCAGTGGACTGAAATTCAGTTTCATTCATTACATCTAAACAATCAAAATGATAACAAATGAGGAGCTAATCGTACTGTCAGGTGGAGAATAAAAGAGGACTCAATTTCGTTTTCATATTCAAAATGTGCGTCAAAATAGCCACAGACTCTTTATCAATTACAAAAAGGATATAATGAAGTACAAATTTTCATTACTCAAGATTTGACCCACCAAAGACTAAATAACACTCTTTTTTCCTCATAAGAGAAAAACAGATCATTAGACTATTAATGTGATCAGGGGTAAAAGATAAATATCATCTCCTTGAGAATAATGTTGCCTATGTTGTTTGAAGAATACTTTGTTTAGCCCCATTACTTACCAAAATTTCTATATGGGTAAAAGATAGCTCATTTTTCTATAACTGAAAGAAAACTATCAAGAAATTGAAGGTAAAGGAATAAATAAAAGCAATGCTCTGGATTAGGAAAAAGGAATCAGGAATCATGAAATCTCATCCTCTATGTAGCCCCATTGCTTATCAAAACCGAGTCAAAGGTAAAAGATAGCTCATTTTCCTCTACATTAAAGATAACCTGATTTCTGCCTAGCTCTTTATAGTGCTTTGTATGTTTTGAAAACAACTACAGAGTGTTTTTTGTTTTCGTCCTTTTGTTTTATTCTTTTATACTATTGTAATCTAATAATGAACTCGAATTTGATATCTGAATCTGTTATGTTTGCTTTAATAATAATCTCACGCTATAATGAAAAAAAATAGCAAAATAGGTCGGATTATTAGTTCCATGTGATACAACTCAACAAATTTATTAGAACATTTGAGACACAAGTTCAAAGGTATTTTTAATCAAATATACCTTAGTGTTATGAAAAGATATTCGGGAACATAAATGAATGATCTGGAAGCTCCATGGCCTGGATGAAGATGAATGAAAGATCTGGAAGCTGTGGGGGAGAAATGAACAAAATATTTCCAGGTTGTTTTCTTTGCTTGAGCCTTTTAACAACTTTTAGTAAACAACTTTTAAATTGGGATCATTATGTTTTTTTTTCATTAAGCCTTCATAATTGACATATCATCCCTGAGGCTGTCAGGTGTATGGATCATCATTGCTCTTAAAGCAATGCTCATTGAGATTTGCATTGCAGCTCCAATATCCTTTGAAGCTTCTAGGGCAGTTGAATCAGTAGCAGCTACTACTAAGTGAATTTATAGCCTCCTTATAAGCCCTTTAAACCAGCTGTATAGCACTGATTTTACACAAAGACAAAATAATAAAAGAGAGATAAGAAGAATACACAATATAATCAAATGCTGAATACAAAATTATAACATTGCCTATGAAATCTTCATAAATTGATATACTGAATATCACGTCATAGGAGGATTATAACTGCATGCTCTCCTGTAGTTTATTTTCAGGTGTTTAAGAATGTTATTTAGAATCTTATTGGAGCAGTAATATATAAGTGCAGTCTGGTCTTAGCAATGTTTGATGGAATTCATAAATTATGGTTTAAAGATATATGCTCCAGTGAGATTTTTACGTTGTCGCTCCAGTGAGATTGTTACAAATTGTATTCTTTATGCTTTATCAAAACCAAGCTGATCTAGATCATTAACCCAGGACAACAAAAGAATCAGAAATTTTGATCTAAACTAACTTAATGTTTAAATATGTTAGGAAAACCTCCTGTTTCTTAGCATGGAGTTTCAAAAGCTTAAAACAACATAGTTTTAACTTCTTTCCCTGTTAGACGTCTAGTAAATTTCATTGCAGCTCGAATGGCCGGAAGTTATTCCAAACACTTCAAAACGATCATAGAATTCCTCTATAAAAACACGAATTTGTGAAAACAAATCCTTTTATTCTTTTGACTCATATAGAATCTTTGTTTGACAAAAAATACCATAAAGATTAATGTATTTAATCAAAACAACTTTAAAATGAACTCAAATTACACTTTTGAAGTGAGTACAAATGAAACTCAAGAAAATCGCACAAATTGAACTTTGAGTATCAATACTTAAAATTGCATTCTTAAGATAATTAAGAAAACAAAACCCAAAGAATCAATAAGGGATGGTTCAGTTATAACAAATGGGCACCTAAAAGTGCATTCCTGGATTTAAATCTATAAAAAACAACTTTAAAATAAAACTATGAATCCTCTTTTTAAAAAACCCAAGAGTTGAACTCAAAGTGTCGTGAAAGTTCAGCCACCATATTGAATGAAAATCTTAAGTAGATGTATATAGAAGCACCTTAGCAATGATAAAAGTCAGTTTTGTTCCAATAAACAGAAAATAAGGTTTGATTACTTTAGGATAAGTCATAATCAAATTGCAAGATATAAGAACACTGAAAGTGTAAATAAAGGTGTGATGTAAAGCTTTGCTTATTGCAGATTTTACTGACTCCTCATAACTAATTTCAGTAGCTCCTAACTGCAAAAACTCTTCCCAAAAATGGCAGATCGGAAAACAGAGACATCTTCATATACAATAGAATTAGAAATTACCCTCATATGTGTTCTTTTAATGAATTCTGAATAGGTACATATGCATTCTACATAAATTGTTTCTTCTCCTCCATTTTATAGTGCTTCCAGAATATGAAAACAGAAATTCATTCAAACAAATAGATAGTGAATTCAAACTTAGCTGCAAACAGATGAATTATTACAATTTGTTGATTTAAGGAATAAATAAAAAAAAAAAAAAATAGATCGCATAGTGTAATTTCTAACAGTTTTTGAATAGATCGAATCTGATGCCAGAATGAAAAGAAGAAGAGTTGAATGTCGTCACCTAGCAATTCCTCAGTCGATGCCGCTGGTAGAGTCATGCACGTATGGTCGTTGATGGGAGGGAGAGGCGTAGGGTTCTGCAAGGGGCTGTCGGCAATCATCTTGAACATCAGCTCACCGAAATCAGATGGATTTGCGGTAGGAAGAATGGCTCTAAATGGGAAAAATAGAGGAGAAGACATAGTTACCTTGGAGCAATGAAGGAGAGGGAGAGGAGAAATGAAGGAGGAGAAGCGGTTGGGGGAGAAGTGAAAGAAGGGTGGGGATGATTTTGAGCTAACGATCGAGATTTGACTTGTGCTAGGCGGAAGGTTGGGGGAGAAATGTTTCGCTCTTATGTACGAAGTATTAGATATGGAGTATTGGTTTAGGAGATTTCTTGCCTTTACCAAATGGCTGAGTTTCCATTTACAACAATGCTTAGGAGATAACTTGTACACAAAATGTCCGTCACAGACAATTGATACGGAATTGTCTGTGGACACAGACAAGAGTTGTCTGTGTACACATACAACTTTTGTCTGTGTGCACAGACATTTACTTTTTTGTAAAAAGTAGACTGACAGTCGTCTGACACTGACAACAGCTTGAAAATCAATCAATATATGTGCAGTGCCTGTGTGCACGCACAATTATTTGTCTGTGCGCACAGACAATATTTACCACACAGACAATAGTTGTGCGTCTCACAGACAATAGTTGTCTTTGTGATCAACTTTAGTTGTCGGTGTGATCAATTTCAATTGTCTGGGTGAACAAAAAATTTAATTGTCTATATATATCCAAATGAATGATGTAGTTGTATGTGTGATAAATTTACATGTAATTTGAAAAAAATAAAAATTAATAAAAATAGATGGAATAAAATGAATAAACTGATTTTGTGCAAATAATATAAAAAATTGATATAAAAAGGTAGAGAAAAAGAGAATGAAGAAATGATGAGGAAGATGAAGAAGGGAAGATGGTCTCTAATTTTTTTGAGATATTCGAATGGAGGAAAGAGAGAAGGGAGAGGGGAAAAGAGAATAGAGAGAAGGGGAGAAGGAAATGAGATTTTTTGGGGGTCTTTTATATGGTGTACACTTTGTGTACACCATATGTACACTTGGCATTTTCCTTCCATTTATTAGTTCTTTAAATCTTTTCTGTTTTTTTTAGTATATACAACCACAAGTCCACAATTGATCTTTAGTAATTTAATAAATAAATAAATTTACAGGTGGGCGTAGCTCAACTGGTAGGAAGGGAGTGTCACAAGGGTTAGGTCCCGGGTTCGAATCCCGGCAACTGCGATGAGGGGTTACTATGCTAAAAAATGCTTAGGGCCTCAGCAAGTACCGGGAACAGAGTCTCACTCTCTATCTGTCATATTGGGATTATAGTCCAACTTACATCCTCCTAACGTACCGTTCGGTCGGGGTTGGGGGCCCTCAAGGATAGGGTGTCATCCTTTTTTTTAGTAATTTAATAAATTTAATGCCAAGTACATAGTTGGCAGTCAGTCCACCATAATGTTGTCCTTTCCGATTACAGACTTGTAGTTGTAGTCTCAAAACTTTTTAGGTTTTCAAGGCTTTGTCGAAGATGAGTTACAAACTAAAAGGCAAGTTTTATACTCCCTCCGTTTCTGAAACAAGTTCCACCTTTCCTTTTCGGGCAGATTCAAAATTAAGTTCCACCTTCAAACATTTCCTTATTTGGCAAATTATCTACATCAAAACAGTGTCAAATATTGTTCAAGCAGTGCCAAACAGTGTTCAAACAGTGCCAAACAGTGCACTCCACAGTAAAATCAAATTTATTTTCTTAATATGTGTGAAGTCAAATGTGGAACTTGTTTCAGAAACGGAGGGAGTATGTTAAATGTTTTTATTTATTAAATTACTACCTCCGTAACACAAAGATCTTCCCATTTTGACTTTTCACGGTCTTCTAAGTTGAACTTTGACTCTAAATATCTACATATCTATATTTATAAAATTCATAATAAATTAACATTCAAATAATATATTTTACAATGAGGTATATGAAATAAATTTTTAATCATAACATAATGTGAGTTTTGAATAATTAATGATCAAAGTTTATAACATAATTAGAGGCTCATCAACTGGAGCTGGAGCTCCCAAAATAATACAAACTGTCTTTAAAACCTTTTGTTATTTCAAAAGATGTGTTAGAACAATGATAAATTAATGGACCATTATTAAATAATATACAGAAAGACAAGAGTATGGAAGACACTCAACTAGACATAATTATCATTTCTGAGCTATAAGTCACTTATGGATTTAGCAGGATGAATAAAACTCAGCATTCCCTTGGAAGCAAAAACGCTCGAGACTATACTGTCATTTGCATACACACATCCTCTTCTAACCACTGTAACTAAGCTCAAACAGCAAGTTCCGACGTGTCTCCGCACCCATTTGGATTCTGAACTGTTTGGCAAGTGATTCCACCTTGTCATCGGCTTCATAGTCCATCTCTCTGGTGCATCGCCTTCTGATCTTTTTTAGCAATTCCCTTGTTGGAATATACTCCGCCTGCACCTGCACATGAAGGATATCAAAGATACGACTTCCCATGTTTTGATTATATCTGTCTAATTTTTAAGGAACAATGTAATCACCATTTCATCAACAACAGATAAAGCGGCCTTAAGATCTCGCTTGATGAGATGAGCGTCAACAAGTAGAGAATATGTTGTTGCATTTGGCTTCACTCCTAATCCCATTAAGTGTGCATACACCTTTGTTGCTTCATCACTCTGCCATATTATATATATCCATTCGTGAAACAAGTAAGATGTTTTTATGGCAAAAAAGGAAAAAATGATTTGTAGAGTGTTGGAAAATTTTTGTTCAAGCCCTGATCTCTAAGATTCATCTCCCACTTGCTGAGTTGACTTAAGAAGTTGGCCAGGATAAACCAACGACTTTGACCAAGCCACTCATATTTTATGGATTTTTCTTTAAATACCCAACCAAAGGCCGCCACATCTTGGTTAATTAAAAAGTGGGACTGTTTAAAGAATACTGGGATTATTATAATCAACTTCAAGAAATAATGGTGTTGTCGTACAAATGTTTCTATGAACTCTGAACCAAGATAAGAAAATTCGCGACCATCTTGAGAGTTCCAATTTCAACAAGTCATGTGAAAAAATAAATGTTTCGATGTAGACTCCAATGTCACCTTCTCATTTTTTTAATGTCTACTACAATGAGGATGACTTTTGTCAATAAATTATAACTATTGAAGCTTACATATTACTCGTAGATAATATCCGTGATTTGCTTTATTATACTCCCTCCGTTCTCCAATACTTGTCTCTCTTTCCATTTTGAGATGTTCTTTAATAGTTGTCTCCCTTTACGTTTTTAGAAAGTTTTTAAATAAATATACCTATATACCCTCATTCTCTTTCCTACTTATTCATTCTGTTTCCTACCTTTTCATTTAAAACTTGTGCCACTACACCTTTAAGTGTTTTACATTACCCCTATTATTTTCCTCCTAAAACTTGTGCCAAACCCTATAGGAACAAGTATTGGAGAACGGAGGGAGCATATATTATAAATATATAATTAGAAAAGGTTTTTCATATTATCCTAAATTCATATTATCATAAATATGAATTTATACTATTCATCAAAATCTATTCCCCTGCATAGTATTTTAGCAAAAATTAACCCTGTGCACCTGCAGGATGAACTGCTAGTTTGTTTAAAATTAAACACAATATAATTGAAAAGCTTGATGTCCTATGAGCCTGGGTGGTGGAAAAAACTGCAAGTGAAGCAAAGACCATTAAGCACTGTGACATGCTATTTTCTGCCTAATCCTACAAACAAAATGACCTGATATTGAAGCCAGTCAGTAACTACACCTGTCACGTAGAATGTATGTTTTCAATTTAGTAATTACCTTCCCAAGCTTACCAAAAGCATGTATCAGAGCGTTGTACGAATGGATATTAGGTGTCAACCCAAATGAGGAATCAATTGCCGTAAAAGTCTGATAAGCACGGTCAATATCCCATATATTGGCACACCCCAAAATGATGCAATTTAAAGCAGAAACAGACTTATAGGGTACTTCAGCACGGCTAAGGTTCTCCAGTTGATAGTAAACCTGAGAAAGGTGTTAGACACAAATAAGAAAAAAACATAAAATAATAGGACACACCAAGGGTATGTATGGAACAAGGAGAATACTTGGGATGAAAATAGGAATCCAGCCGTAGAGAAAAACTAGAGGGAAATAAAATGTAGAATGAAATAAAAGATAGGCTCCAACTAAATAAAATTATTTTAGAAGCTTGCCTGTTAGCTTGTACACTCATCTTATTTAATTATGTCTATTATATTAACCTTCTGCAATAATTATTTCAACATCTGAACTCGAGGAAAAGAATTTTACTCATCAACTAATCCTATGTTATCTTCATCGTCGAGTACTCCCTGAGTACTAGCCCAGAACTCGCTACTCGGGGTAGGGACTTGCCGATTAGTACTCCGAGTCACGCTGTTCCATTTTTTCGAGTAACTCGTGTAGTACTCAGTGATTTTCATTACTCGGTGACAAGGTTGACACTCCGAAATTGACTTTTTGGGGTTAAATCTGAACAGTTTAAACTAATTTGGGATACAGGAATATTATGGAACTTATGAATAATGAAGAAGATTACACAGTCAGTTTATGTTTAGTGACATGGTGGATGAAGAAGAAAATGACGACCTTAAACCTAATGAAGATTAGTGACGTTTTTAGAACAAAGTTCAGAATTACGTATTATTAGGTGATTAATTTTCTTGGATGTTAGAATGTTTATGATTGTTGGGATTTGTTGCTACTTATATATGAGGATTATTATTTTATTCATAATTAAGAATTTTAAGACTAACATACTACTAGAGCTTTGGGGCATTTATGTTTTAAAGTTTATAATTAATTCAGGAACCAGTAATCACCAAGTAATTGGTCCTAATCGTTACTCGGCCTTTGACCGAGTTACCACCCAGTAGCAATTATGTTACTTAGAACTCATCACACATTAATTGGTTGGAGAGACCAGAGAACATACCGTGTCTAAAGTTGCAAATCCATTCGCACAGCAAGCAAGAACAAGCGGCTTCAAAGAGGTGAAAGGTGAAAACAGTTCAACTTTGTCGGCGTTAGTGGAATTTTCATAAGCTTTCTCAAACTCAAGAAGTGAGGCAAAAGCATTCTGCAACTGACCCATCAAAGCATGGGCATTAATCTTAGCGATGTAAGCTTCAGGGTTAGGAATCCTAGAATCACGTAGTGAGCGTTTAAGGACTTCCCAAGAACCACTCAAGAGTTTAGAAGAAAAGTTTCTACCGGCAGTTCCA